AAGCATACTCAATTATTTTATTGATTGATATGGTTTCGCTGTGCCCCCACCGAAAATCTCATCTTGAATGGTAATCCCAATAATCCCCATAATTCCCACGTGTCAAGGAAAGGAGCCAGTGGGAAGTGATTGGATTATGGGGGCGGGTCCCCCATGCTGTTCTTGTGATAATGAATGAGTCTCACAAGATCTGATGGTTTTATAAGTATCTGGCATTTCCCCTGCGTGCACTCGTTCTCTTTCCTGCCGCCCTGTGAAGCGGTACCTTCTGCCATGATTGTAAGTTTTCTGAGGCCTCTCCAGCCATGCAGAACTGAGTCAATTAAACCCCTTTTCCTTATAAATGACCTAGTCTCAGGTATACTCCCTCATAGCAGTGTGAGAATGGACTAATACACTGATAACTTTGTTTACAACAGATTATGAGCATCTCTTTATGTCATTGAAGAGACTTCCAAAACATTATTATTATTTTTTTTTGACCGAGTCTTGCTCTGTCGCAGAAGCTGGAGTGCAGTGGTGCAATCTTGGCTCACTGCAACATTCACCTCCAGGTTTAAGCGATTCTCCTTCCTCAGCCTCCTGAGCAGCTGGGACTACAAGCGCAAGCCACCATGCCCAGCTAATTTTTGTATTTTTAGTGGAGATGGGGTTTTCGCATATTGGCCAGGCTGGTCTCGATCTCCTGACCTCATGATCCACCTGCCTCGGCCTCCCAAAGTGCTGGGATTACAGGCGTGAGCCACTGTGCCCGGCCCCATAACATAATTCAACATCCACGTGATATTCCTGTCTTTGGCTGTACCTTAAAACATTTCCAGTCCTCTCTTACCAGACATTTGGGTTGTTCTGAATTTTTCACCAACATAATTAATGTTGCAAGGCACATGTGTGTAGCTACTCATATTCACAATTACCTAGGGTAATCTCTAAAGAGTGAAATGTGGGGGTCATGAGATATAAATATTTGTAATACTTTCTGTCCGTATTGCCAGATTGTCTCTAGAAAGATTGCACCACTTACTCTCCCCATCATCAGCATGTGATAGTCCATGTTTCACTGACCTGAGCCCTAACTTAATTGGTTAAGAAAAAGCCTCATTTGCTATAAGTTTGATCAGAAAAATAAAAGAAAGAAAGAAAAAAGTCTCTGATAAGTTGGTCGCTGCTCAGTCTAGCAGAAATGTAGACAATGGATTTACTGGGAGATTGGGCTCTTCTGGGGCAATAGGAAAAAATCATCTTCAGTTAATGGAGGAGCAAGGGAGAGTTCATGGGGGGGGAAAGTCCATAGCTCATAAAGAGATATTCATGTGACACCTGTAATCCTTTTGGGTGACATTAGGCCTACATTAGTATCTCTAGGTTTTATGTATGTATATATGTATTTATTTATTTTTATTTTTTGAGATGGAGTCTCACTCTGTTGCCCAGGCTGGAGTGCAGTGGCGTGATCTCAGCTCGCTGTAATCTCTGCCTCCCAGGTTCAAGCGATTCTTTTGCTTCAGCCTCCCGAGTATCTGGGACTACAGGCCCACACCACCACACCCGGCTAATTATTTTTTTGTATTTTTAGTAGAGACAGGGTTTTACCATCTTGGCCAGGCTGATCTTGAATTCCTAGCCTCAAGTGATACGACCACTTCAGCCTCCCAAAGTGCTGGGATTACAGGCGTGAACTACTGCACCCAGCTTAGGTTTTATTTTCTGATTCCAGGAATCGCTAAAATTTGGTAGGACGCAAACTCCTGGCTGAGAGGTGACGATGAAAGGGAAGATATTGTTTTGTGTTTAGAAGAAAAAAATATAAAATAGAAGGAATTGGTTGGAATAACATAATATATATCCTGAAATCCATGAACACAGCAGTAGAGAGCTGGAGAAGAGCATCTGGGTAACTGGAAGGAAAGCCACGTTGACCGGCTGGAAACAATAGTTCATAATTTCTCCTAGTCCTGTGGGTTGGCTGAGCAATTCTCCTGTGGCTTCTGCCTGGACTGGTCCTGCCACTGGAATCAGCTGGAGGGTCAGCTGGGCTGGAAAGTCCCGGATGACCTCAGTCACACAGGCCTTCCATGTGGTTCCGCAGCCTCTGGAAGTCTAAATAAACTTCTTTACCTGCTGGTCTTGGGGCAGCCTTTCACAAGGACCCGGGCAGAGGCTGCAAGGTCTCTTAAGACCTGTACTCCAAACTCGCCCGCCCACGCTTTTTCCCATAAATTTACTTGCATGGTGGTAAAGTACATGAGACATCAAATTTACCATTTTAACCATTTTTGTGTGTTTGTTTGTTTTAGAGATCGGGTCTTGCTTTGTGGCCCAGGCTGGAGTGCAATGGCATGATCACAGCTCACTGCAGCCAAAACTTCCCCAAGCTTGAGCCATTCTCCCACCTCAGCCTTCTGAGTAGCTGGAACTATATGCATGTGCCACCATGTGGACTAATTTTGTTTATTTTTTGTAGAGACAGGGTCTCCCTATGTTGCCCAGGCTGGTCTCAAACGCCTAAGCTCAAGCAAGCTTCCTGCCTTGGCCTCTCAGTGCTGGCATTACAGACATGAGCCACCACACCTGCCCCATTTTAACCTTTTTTTTTTTTTTTTTTTTTTTTTTTTTTTTTTTTTTGTGACGGAGTCTTGCTCTGTTACCAGACTGGAGTGCAGTGGCGCAATCTCAGTTCACTGCAACCTCCACCTCCCAGGTTCAAGCGATTCTCCTGCCTCAGCCTCCCAAGTAGCTGGAACTACAGGGGTATGCCACCATGCCCAGCTATTTTTTCTGTATTTTGAGTAGAGTTGGGGTTTCACCATGTTGACCAGGATGGTCTTAATCTCTTGACCTTGTGATCCGCCCACATCGGCCTCCCAAAGTGCTGAGGTCACAGGCGTGAGCCACCGCGCCAGCCTTTAGCCATTTTTAAGTGTGCAGCTCAGTGGCATTAACTTTATTCACATGGTTGTGCGACCATCACCAGTATCTATCTCCAGACCTTTTTCATCTTCCCAGATCAAACCGCTATTCCCATCAAACACCAACTCCCCATTCTCCATTTCCTCAGCCCCTCACACCCACCACTCTAATTTCTATCTATGGATTTGATGACTCTAAATACCTATAAAAATGGAATCATACAGTATATGTCATTTTGTGACTTGCTTATTTCTCTTAGAGTAATGTCTTTGAGGTTCATCCATATTGTAGCACGTGTCAGAACGTCCTTTCTTTCTATGGCTGGATAATATTCCACTGTATGCATACCGCACATTTTGTTTATCCATTCATCTGTCTATGGGTGCTTGAGTTCTTTAATGCAGCCTCATTTTCTGCTATGCTCTATGGGATAAAGCAAGCCCCAAGGCTGGCCCAGACTCAAGAGATGGATGGTGCAGACAATTGATGAGAGGAGCAGCAACGTCACATTTTAAGGGACAAGGACACAGGAAAACCTGATTCACTGGAAGCCATTTTATAATCCATATCTACTACAGAACCAAATGATAACAGGGACATCCGAAAAGACCTTGGAAGAAGTACAGTGAAATTTAACTGGTTTTGAGTATGAAGTCCAGAACATTGGCTCAAAGAATAACTTGCATGGGAAGGGGACAGTGAGTGTGTTTGTGGCCCATAGGTTTTGGGTGAGATAACCACTGCTTCCTTCCAATTCAAAGATGTAATGAATTTAGTGCCACGTTTGTGAGTTTCATACAAACAAGCTTTGCATAAGGAGTTTAATTGTCTGTGCAGCAGATGAAATGGAAATATTAGAAAGTGGGCAGGAATGAAAGCAGAGGACCTGCGCTCTAGTCTTCTCCATTCCCCAAAGAAAAACCAGCCGTGTTACTCTAGGTTAATTCCACATCTTCTCTCTGCTTAAGTTTTCTCTGTAGTAAGATGGAAACCATCATATCTATCTTGTCATGAACAGACAATGAACTAAAGTTTGTGAAAATCATTTTTAAAAAAGGAAAAACATGATGTGCCGCTCCTTCCGTCTGCCAGGCAATCTCTTTCAAGTACCCACGTGTTCTCTTCTGGTGTCCAGTTCTCTCTTTGCTTCCCATCTGGGGTCATGGACAATGGTCTTCTCTTTGCTTTATCTGATTTCTCTCTGAAGTACAGCCAGGTGGCCCCAAAAGACTACAGAGCTAAGTTTACCAGGACATTTCCTGGTACTTTTCGATTTCAAAGTACACTGCAGGTTCTTAATGCATGTTAAACAGTAACGATGGTCACAACAGAAATAGCCGGCTGCCCCCACTTACATGCTCTTTACTGTCCATTTTCCTGTCCCTCCTGTGTGTGGGGGGGGGATGTGAACAGAGGCCCTCAGAGTGACATCGTGAAGAGGAGGAAGGCAGCGGGCCTTGTTGACACAGTTAGCAGGACCTGAAGTACAAGGCAGAAGGAAGGATGCCTCCGAGCCTTAATTTCTCCATCTGCAAATTGGGGGTGATGCCGGGGCCAGATGAAGGTAAAATGAGTGAGGCCAGATCCTGTGAGTACAGGAAGGGATGATGTCTTTATTTTAAATGTTGACAATCTATTCAATATGAATTTTTTGCATTAACTTTGATTTTTTAAATTACAATGAAGTATTGTCTTCATTATTGCTTTTGGGGTACCCCTTTAGATTTTGTGCATGGGGCAAATGTCTCCCTTACCTTGCCCCAGTCTCACCCCTAGAGAATACTGCCAATCTCATAGGGGTTGTTTCAAAGATTTTTTTCAGACAGAGTCTCACTCTGTTGCCCAGGCTGGAGTGCAGTGGTGCCATATCAGCTCACTGCAAACTCCGCCTCCCAGGTTCAAGGGTTCAAGCAATTCTCTTGCCTCAGCCTCCTGAGCAGCTGGGATTACAGGCACCCACCACCACATCCAGCTAATTTTTGTATTTGTAGCAGATGGGGTTTCACCATGTTGACCATGTTGGTCTTGAACTCCTGACCTCAAGTGATCCACCTGCCTCGGCCTCCCAAAGTGCTGGGATTACAGGTGTGAGCCACCGCGCCCAGCCTGTTTCAAAGATTAAATGAGGTGATGCATGTAAATCAGTGATGGGCACATAGCAAGTGCCCAACACAGGTGATTATGATTACCGCATTGATCTCATCTGTCTCTTTGCCTGACAAGAAAACCAAGACTGAGAGAAGCCATGCAATCTACCTGAGATCACCTGCGGTTGACACGGGTCTGCCTGACTGCAGAAAAGTCCTTTTCATCCTTTTTCTTCTGAGCAGGCAGAAACACGGTTGCAGAGGATGTGGATTGGATCAGACCATTATTGGAAGGCCAAGACAGAGAGTCCATTTTTCTCCAGGCTAGATGACATTTTCCATTTTATCTTGCTGTTCCCAAGAATGGGTTCTACCCAGAATAAACTGGGCCATCCCTCCATTCCAGCGGCCTTCCTTACACCTTCCCAAATTCAGGTCAGGTACAGCTGCCCATCGTCCCTTCTATGGTACCAGTTGCTGGTTCACAGCAGTTGTCTCCAACATGTGACTTCATCACTGTCACCTCCACCAGGCTGGGTCTGGGACTTCCTTCATTTCATTCATGATCTGTCCATAATGCCTAGAACAGCGCCTGGTCCAAGTAGCCTCACCAACAGTGTTGATGGAATGAAAGAACCTGTGAGCAAAGGAATGAGAGAACAAAATTTTCCAGATGAGAAAACCGAGGGTCAGAGTGGTCAGGTGACTTGCTCAGGGCCGCACACCCATGAGTGGCAGAGCCAGAATTCCAACCAGGTGGGCCTGGCTCCAGAACATCTGTCTTCCCCACAGCTCTAGGTTTCAAACACCCTTCCATCTGCATTCCAAACACTACTCGAATAATCTCCAGCTGACTGCAGATCTCTCCCCCACCAGATGTTCAAGAATGAAAATATCTGAGAAAATAAGCCAAATTTCTAAAAACATACATTCACATGTCTGGAAGACTCTTGCATGGGTGATTAAATTAAGAGAAAGTATGCTTAAACAGACAGTGTCCCTGCCAAATTGAATTTCTTTTTCTCTGTGTTGTTCTTGGATGAATAAGTGGGCCCTCCGTGTAAGGTTAGAGCAGAGATAAGTCTGCTCCCAAGAGCGGAATACAGGCTCTCTGGAGCCTGGTTCACAGGACACAGCCTCTACATTTAATTTCTGAAACTCCCTTGGGAAAATATCTCCACTTGTGCCGTCTGGAGACATCTGGCCACCCCACTGCAGGTTCCCAAACCCACCAAGCAAAGAGGAACCGAAGGCACCGAGAGTCTGGTCACTGCTACTCAATGTGTGGTCCCTGGACCAGCAACATCAAAACACCTGAGGGCTTGTTAGAAATTTACATTCTCAGGCTCACCCCTAGACCGCTGAATCCAAAACTCTGGGGGTGGAGCCCAGAAATCTGTATTTTCTCCCGCCCTCCAGGGGACTCTGCTGTCACCAGCCTTGTCTACCACCAACCTTTGCAGTTTCCCTTGATGGGATTCAGTTCTTAAAGGAAACAGTATACCCTGATTTTGGCCAAATGAGGAATTCAGGATCCAAGAAGGGGAAGGCAGTTATCCGAATCTTGGATGCAAAATCAGGTGGAAAGGTAGGGATAGAATGGGAAGAACAAGGAATCAAAGGGGAAACTGAGTCAGGATGTAACGCCCTGGCAGTACCATAAATCCTCACAGGTGAGCAAAAAGCAGAATGTCAGAATTGAAAGGGACCAACCAACATTTCTTCCTCCATCTCTGTTCCTGAAGTGAACTGAAGTTCTGCCCACAAAGCTGTCAAAGAATCTAAGTCACAGGTCAATTACATCAGTCCCTTCGGAGGCTTCCCACTGACCTCAGGCTAAAGTCTAAAGCTGCCTAGCACAGACCCTTTGTGACCTGGCCCCTGCTATCTCCCCAGCCTCATCTCCTGCCCACCTAACGCTGAGTACCCCAGCACTACCAGGGATGTCCAGGTCCCCCACTACACCTGCTCTCTCTGGTCTCCACACTTGGTCTTTTCCCTTTTAATAAGCCCTTCCTACTCCCTGGGCTTATTCATCTCCAGAATGTCCCCAGGCACCTGTTCCTAGGAGGTCAACCCAGGAGGGTCAATGACAGTCTGTTCCATCCACCCCTCTCCCCAACCAACTCTAGTGCAAAAGATGTCCATTTGCCTTTGATTCTTCCAAACCTCAAGGTTAAAGAATGCAAGTTTTAGCAGTTTCATGCCACCCAGTGACTGCCACCAGGGACTATTCAGAAAAAAACCTGTCACCATGTGGCACACTCAGCAGATGAGCAAAGTCTGGAGGTCTGAGATCTACACCAGAAGATGCTGGTAAGATGCTGGTGACCCTGCATCTTACCATTTCAAGCCGCTCTGATATATCACTAGCATTTGCCTCTATTTTTATACCCCAATGAATCGCTCATTGTGTCTAGGTTGACTTTCTTAACTGCCACCAATGTTGAGCCTCTGGGTAGCACTGGCCTCACTATCAAAAAACTACAATGTGGCCAGGCATGATAGCTTAATCCTGTAACCCCAGCAGTTTGGGAGGCTGAGGTGGGCAGATCACCTGAGATCAGGAGTTCAAGACCAACCTAGCCAACATGGTGAAACCCTGTCTCTACTAAACATACAAAAAAATTAGCCAGGCGTGGTGACAGGCACCTGTAATCCGAGGTATTTGGGAGGCTGAGACAGGACAATTGCTTGAACCAGGAGGCAGAGGTTGCAGTGAGCCAAGATCACGCTATCGCACTCCAGCCTGAGTGACAAAGCGAAACTCTAACTAAAAACAAAGAAAAAAAAAAAAAAAAAAAAAAAAGAGCTACAGTGCATTTTCTGGAAATAAAAATTCAGAAGTTGTACCCCAGTCCTTATTTATGAATAATGAATAAAGATGTGTGGTCATTATCACACCGTTTGGTTTAATATTTAGTCAATGTCTTGGTCAGGTAGCACTCCCTTTCCATTGCCTTGTACAATGGCTGTCCACAGTCCAACACTCCGATGACATGTCTTTCTAACTTTCCAAACCACACTGGATATGTGCTGTGCAGTTTACTCACTGTAGCTCAAAGCACGAGCTGAGTAGCACTGGGAACTATCCAAGGCAAGAAACAGGCATCAGAGAGGACACTGGGTGGCTGGGAGACTCCTAGAGAGAAGAGCCCGGTGGTGGAGGAGGAGCAGAAGTCAGAAGGAGGACAAAATCCAGAGAAGGCCAGCGGCAGAGATAGAGCACTCAGTGGCGCAGGGGGCAGGCTGTAGGCACAGAGAGTAAGCTAAATCCTCTGCCAACTGAGGGTGAAGTGACACATGTTTCTGCTTTAAGTGATCCGTTTTTACTTTTAACATTGAAGATTAAAATTAAGTGCTTTACTGTAGATCAGTTTACAGGGATTTGGTACATCTGTTTTGGAAATGAAAAACAAAACTGGGTAACATCATTATATGTATTAGCAGAATTGGGGTAAAGTATCAGTATCACCGGGGGCTGCCTCCACGCCACCTCCACTTTTCAACATTCCTCGCGCTTGGTGGGGAAGACATTTGGCTGGGCTTGGTGACATTTTGACCTCCAAAAATGCAAAGAGGTACTGAGTCACAGTCCAGGTTCCCTGGGGGCCAGGTACCAAATACCAGCAACTGCTTCCCCCACAATGAGGGGGTGGCAGGGTGGGCACTGCGTCAACGGCTGTTGCTGGAACCCAGCAGAACCCCCAGTCATTGGCCCCTGTTCCTGGCTTGACACCCCACAGCCTCTCGCTTGCCAAGAGTTTTACACTGACCTCCGAGATTCAACCATAAGGGAAAAGGCTGGCAAGTTAGATTATTGCTTCAATAATGAGCGAATGGTTTCTGGTTTGCTATTTACACTGCTCTCTGGGAGAGAAAACAAGTCTTCCAACTGAACTCCTCCAATTTCTACTATTTATCCAAGATTACACATATAATCCCATAATAAAACACCGTTCCTGCCCAGAACACAGAGTGATTGCCTACAGATGTGCCCAAACCAAAACATCTGCACATCCAAAATGGCCACTGGCATGTTATTTTTCTGTGTGTTTTTTGGTTTTGTTTTGTTTTGTTTTTTTAAATCTATTCTGGGTTGATAACTGAAATGGCTAATTAACTTCTGAAACTCTCAGAGTGGAAATCCCATCTAGGAGATGAAAAGACACACTGGTGGCAGTCTCTCCGACGTGCTGCCCAAAATAGCAGACCACGCTGTGCCTGACTTCAAGTAACACCTTGTAGGCTGATGAAGTTTGGCCTCAACAGCATGCCGTCACTGACACATGAAAATAAAATGCTTTCCTAATGGTGCCTGGCACAGCGTCAGGAAAATACCTCATCTGAATTTTTATTCAGCTGACAAATGACGTGCACCTTTGCCTTTATCCGGCTGCTTATATTAAATATCTGAGTTCAGCAAAGATTTCTTAATTTGCTCGTTTCTCTTGGTACCATGTAGAATGAGGGCTTAGAATGAAATTGTATCAAGAGGCAAGAGAGATGTCTACCTGCTCACAGCAAACCCCTGGAAATTGCTGGGCCTCTCTGGTGATCATATCACATAATCATCTCAGCTCTACTTTGATTTGTCTCTCAATATACTGTTTAAAAATGTAATCCAATCGCCCAGCCCAACAAGCAGTCTGTTTATTATTACTTTTGATAGAAAGGTTCATAACATCCTATAATATGTGTGCATTTTTTATTCCGTTTGGCTACTAGACATTGAAACCATTTGGGACATTTATTAAAATGCAGTCAGCCGCTCTTTAGGATGAGGTTAATGTGGGATTTATGCCTCTGGTGCACTGTGCACAAAGTGATAATAATGCTTGTTTAGTACTTAGTTCACGTACAAAATGGTCAGCTATAAAAATGGAAGAAATACAAAGATTGACTCAAAAAAGCACAGAGTGGGGAGTGGTTTTTTTTCAAACTGCAGGAGGGGCGCTTAGGTAGGAGACCAGATGAGGAGCAGAAATTTATTTTAATGGAAGATCAAATTCTCTGGTTACATGAGATAGGCTGGGGAGTGGGGGCTCCCAGAAGCCCAGTTTGATAAACCCAGGCCTGACAAGCTGCCAAGGGAATTTTGTACCACCCGGCTTGGACAAGAGATGCTTTCCCCATGGCCACACTTTCTCCTCATGTCTTCCCAAATCCTGCCTATCCCAAAGGCCTTCAAAGAGACCTCAGCCTGCAAGAGAGCCAGAGGGCTGAGGGCAGAGCCAGTCAGACATTTGTGATTGAGCTTCTCTGGTATCCAAAGCAGATGGACCTAGCAAGATGGGGAGAAAAATTCCAAGCAACTTTCTAACATTGTCCAGGCATCTGGGCATTGGGCAGAGCGTGCATGTTTCCTACACATGTTGGTGATGTTCTTGCTTCCAAGAGCGGAAGTGATCCAGAAACCCTGGAAACCGGCCCCCGCACCATCCCCAAGCAAACCTGCTTGTCCAGGAAGCTGCTTCCTAGGCTGGGCAGTTCGAGGTTGATGTCCTGCTTCCCTGAAGGAAAGCGGGGTCTTTGGGTGCCTGTGAACAGGAGGGTCTTCCCTCCAGCTGCATCTCAGCTCACTTCACCGAAGCAGGAGGAAGCACAATAAGAATGACTCCAATGATGGGGGATTGA